AGTTTGCTTTAGGCGACCCAAATTCCAGTTCAGTTACAAACCTCTGCAGTCTTAGCAAAAGAAGTTATCATAGGATATGAGGTCAAGAATTCAGAAAGGAATGAAATTAAGACTAGGCAATATATTAGAAATGCAGATCATATTCTGCTATTTCTATTTTTCAACATGCTGTGTTTTTCTCTATACTTGTTGGATAGGTCACCTTAGTCCACTCAGAATGTGGCAGCTCCTACCTTCTGAATTTACATGTTACAGCCACACAAAGTATAAATCTCTCTTTATTGCTCTCAGTTTCTATAACTTGTGTATCTGTCTGTCTGTCTGTCTGTCTTTTGTTTCACTGCTGGGTATTGAACCCAGGGACTCTTACATGCTAAATAAGTGCCCTACTACTGAACTACACCTCCAATTCTCTCTGTCCATCAATCTAATTCCAATTTTTATTTAATAATTGGTCTGGCTTTAGTACATTAAGCTGTAGTAATGACAGGATGGGTCACAGGAAACAGATCCATAACCATAGGAGCCCAACTCTGGTATTTTGGAGTTCTCCAGAGAAACAGAACCAATAGGAAATGGAGCTAAGTGGTGTATGTATGTGTGTGCGCATGTGTATATGTGTGTGTACCCTGTTATATGTATGTGTGTGCTACAGAACCAGATTTCTTATAAAGAACTGAGTCACATGATAACGGAGGGTGAGAAATACCATGCTTTGACATTTGAAAGCTGACGGGGTCATTCAAAGGCCCGAGAGGCAGGGAACCAATGTAGATTCCAGCCCGAGTCTGAAAGGCCTGAGATCAGGAGTGCGGAGGGAAGGGCAGTTTGATGTCCCAGGCCGGGTAGTCACAGAGGGAGAGCTCAGCTTTCTTTCCCCTTTTTCTTTGATTCTGGACTTCAAAGCGTTGGGCAATTCTCATCCACACTAAGAAGGACTACCTGTACTACCTAATCAACTAATTCAAACGTTAAACTCCAGAAACCCCTTTCAGACCAGGGATATGTTTCAGCAGCACAGTGCCTGCCTGGCAAGCATGAGGTCCTCGGTTCGATTTCTGGTACATACACTCACACAAAAAAAGAAAGAAACATTTTCAAAAACACATTCAAAAATACTTTTTAACCAGATATGTGGGCATCCTATGGTCCAGTCAACTGACACATAAATTTGACCATCATATTTGAGTGTCAAAATGTTATGGAAGTGGGCAGGATAAGATGCAAAGGGGTTAGTGTAAGCTATTTAAGATAAATTGTAAATCTTATCAGATTGGAGAGGGAGATTGTCACATATCTTTTCTGTTCTATATTGAGATCTATGGAACTGGCAACTCTAGAATTAAGGACAGTAATATTCGATGCTGACAGTGGTTCACCTCTTCTGAGCAAGTGACAGCAAAAGTGCTTCTATATTGTCTATTAAATAAATATATGTCTAATGTATGTTTATTTTTGCACTTAGAAAAAATACTGAAAGCTTTTGGCTATAATGGAATAGTAGGAACTGGGTTTACCCTCCCATTCTAAGCAGATAACCAGGCAAAATACATAAAGCAATAGTTTGCAAACATCAAACAACGGGTAGTACAGAACTGTAATTCACAAGAGAGAAATCCTATGACTGCCCCAGCTTAGGGCCTAGGGAGGCTATAGAGTATGTAAAGGAACCCACTAGACTGTGGTTGTCTTGTTAATTAAAAAGGGCAGGGAAGCCAATGTGACCAGAATTTGTGGGGCAAAGCAATTGAGAGAAGGGAGCTACAAAGAGACAGCTTCAGAGATCCGCAGAGCACATTCTTCATACCTTCATCTGAGTACTTATCTAAACAATCATGTTTGCAAGAAAACCACCCAAGGCCCAAGAATAAACCAAAAGAAGTAAATACGCATAGAAACCATAGTGATTTCATGTAAGCTATATTTTTATCAGTTTGAATGAATAGACTTCCTCACACACGGTGCATTGGATTGATTCTTGTATGGGCTCCTTCTATAGTAGCAGGGTCATATTAGCTCTAGAATAAAAGCTGCTGTGGACCATTCAACACAAATCATAAAAAGCAAGCTTTGAAACTAATTCTAGGTGGCTTACGTGTGTTTCAAAACACAGCCCAATAAGAGTTCATGGAAAAACAGTAAGACGTAAAAAGTCCTCAAAGACATGAAATTTAAAATGTCTGGTATTTAAATAAAAATTATCAGTCATGCAAAAAATAGTCATATGACCCCTAGTTAAGAGAAAATCTATCACATATATGTTAGAATCATCAGAAAAAATACAAAACAGCTTGTATAAATACATTTCACATATTTAAGAAAGTAAGAAATATTGATAATGATAAGAGAAATTAAATATACAAGAGAAATCTAAAAACAACTTCCAAATGAAAATACAATATCTAAAAGAAAGAATACGCTAACTAGAATTAACAGCCAACTAGATAACTGGATTCAAAATACAGTAATAAAAACTATCTACACCTGCTCTCCCAGTATCAGGAGGCTGAAACAGGAGAATCATGAATTCCAAGCCAGTCTGGTCTATACAGAAAGTTCCAGGCCAGCCTGGAATACATAGTGAGACCTTGTATCAAAAAACAAAAACACTGAAGAAAAAATAAATATAACATCAATGGCCTGTAAAACTATGTCAAAAATCTAATAAACACGTGTTGGAGGGCTGGAATGATAGATTGCTTGCCTAACAAGTACAAGGCTCTGGGTTCAATCTCCAGTATAAAACAAGTATTGAAATCATAGGCAAAATGTTAGAATGCAAAATGAAAAAGTTAAAGAAACAGTTTTCCAAGTTTAATGAAAACTATAAACCCACAGACACAGTATCTTTCTTTCTTTCTTCCTTCCTTCCTTCCTTCCTTCCTTCCTTCCTTCCTCCCCCTCCCCCTCCTCCTCCTCCTCCTCCTCGCACTGAGAATTGAACTGAGGACCTTGCACTTCAGGCAGGCACTTTGTTGTTGAGCTATGTGCCTGGCTAAGTTGATCATTTTCTAACCTCTAGACTTACGGATGTTGCCTTCTGTCACTTTGCAGATATGATTAAATTAAGGATCTTGCCATAGCGATTCTTGTGAGTTATCTAGGCAGGCCCAGTGCAAACCTAGGGAGGAGAGAAGTGTGACGGTGAAAGCAAAGTCAGCGTGGAGTGAGGATACATACACCTCGAGCTGGGGAATGCAGGCAGCCTCTAAAAGCTGAAAACATGGGGCCTGGATTCTTTCCTGGGCACTCTGGGAAGAAACCAGCCCTGCATGTATCTCATTTTTAACTCTGTAAGACATATTTTCAGGCTACTCATGTCTGTGCAAGATAATAAATGTGTACTTAAAAACCGCTAAGTTTTTGGTAATTTGTTACTACAAATAGGAAATTAATTGCAAACACAAAAAGACATCAGAGCAAAATTGATGAAAATGAGAGATAAAGCAAAAATCGTGAAAGCAACCAGAAAAAGAAAGGAGCTCATTACATATTGAGGAACAAATCTTAAAAGCATCCAGATGATCAAATCTGTGCATTAGTTACACAGAAACCAATCCATTCCCACTGCCAACTCAGTGCTGGAGTTCATGAGCAAGTCTTCAGTGTATTTTCTGGCTTCTGCCTGTACACATGTTGGAATGTCATCCATTGATGAGTAATAATCACAGCTCCATTTCCATGAACCACTGGTGTGAGCTAGGATACCAGCACCCTACTCAGTAATCCTGTGCAGTTCTCAGCCCAAAAGCCACCCTGGATGAATGAAAGAGGCAGGATTCAAATCCAGATCCTCTTAAAGGGATATGTTCATTTTCCCATAAACATTTTTACCTCCTTAGTGAGAAGTCACACATTCATCAAAGCTTCCCACCTCATCATCTTGTTGGTGAAATGTCTTCCTCAAGAGTTCCATATAAAGTAATCCCTTTCTCCTTAAAATCCTCACTGCCACTTGGGGGCCATGGTAGCATGTCTTTAATGACGCCCAGCTTCTCCCATGATCCGTATTCCTGACACTCAAGCCCTTATTAACCCTTATCTGGGCTGACTCTCTAGTTTCCATTTTTTTTAAATGAAAGACTCTAATGGAAATGAAACTTTGTATAACTTTCAAAGCTAGGTAATCAAAAACTTGGAGGCTTCTTTTAGGGTCTCTGAAAAAGAATTGTTCTTAGAAAGCTTGCGCTGGGAAAAGCTAACCATCATAAAAAACAAAACCAAACAAAGAACCTGACTTCTGTGACATCACCATGCTGTGAAGAGGCTCCCATGCTAGATAGGAAGGTGACCCACGGCAAAAGAGCCAATGTGTGAGCCGCCCCTAGCCATTCCAGCCCCCAGTCCCGACCAAGACAGACGGAATGACACCAGATGAAAACCTGGTTCTAAAGAAATGAAGAGTGCTGGAAATTATAAATCAGTGCATAAATAAACAAATGATGCTTTTTTCCTCATTTAAAAACTTTTCAAAACTGCACATGATGGCACCCACCTGTAACCCTAGTACTCAAGAGGCTGAAGCAAGAGGATTTAGAATTGAACTCGATAGTAAGACCTTGTCTCAAAAAAGCAAAGCAAAACAGAAAAGCACTTTTCCAACTAATAAAGATAATATTAATACCTACCTGACAGATTTGCTATAAAAAAGAAATTATTTAATAATGTAAATAAAGCATACTAAAAAGTGCCTGGCACTTAAGAATCCTTTAATAAATATTTCTATTGTTTTATAATGCCCTCATTTTATGAGTAGATATTCTTTTAACCTTTTGCTTAGTTATGTAATGAATATTTGTTCAACACCTACCTTGTAGAGGTACAATATATGAGATTTTAAAAAAATCAAGACATTACTCCTGACCCTAAGGATACTCAGAGTTACATGGAGAAGAAACACAAGTAAATAAAGAATTATAGTTCAGGATAGTAAGTGCTTTAATAACAGAGAGAAGCCTGGACATGTGTGGGTGGTGAGAGGTAAGACTGATGGTGGATGAAGTCATGTCTAAGCTAAATCTCAAAGCTGAACCAGGGCTTACCACTGCTTACTCATTAGCCCCAGGATCGCAGCAGTGGCAGGTAAGGACTGGGGATGGAAAGAGTGTAGAGGTCCAGGAAGAGGAGCTGTTACAGGCAAGGACTTGCACTCACGAAAGAGCAGGAGGCTCAAACTGGAGATGGCTCTGCATTTCCTGAGAGGAGGATGCATGTGGCGGCTGGCAGACCAGCGAGTGGGATGTGGGAGAGATAAGCCAGAAGGGAACAGAGTGCAGAGGAAGGGAAACCTGGCGAGAAAGACTGAGAATAGCAGCTCCGGGAGGAGGAAGTCAAGGAGGACTAAGAGGAGGTGGGCAAGGGAGGAAAGGCTGGCTGGGGATGGCATGGTGGGCGAGGAACTGCTCAGGGTATCAGAGGCAGCAGGGAGCCAGTTACTTTGCCCTGCTTTTTCTGTGTCTTTTGAATTAATAAGGGTTTGTGTTTACATTTTCCACTTTATGTCATTATTGACTTTCTAGCTATTCTTTGTTTTGTTGGGGTTTTTTAGTGGCTTTTCTAAGGCAGGGTTAACAAATTTTTCTGTAAAGGGCTAGAAAGTAAGCATTTTATCTTTGTCGGCCATACATATATGGAAACAAATGGTCTTGGCTTTGTTCCAATAAAGCTTTTATTTATAAAACAATTCATTTTGTCTCTTGGGCTGCAGTTCTCCAATCATGGCTCTAGAGTTTAAATATACATCTTTATCACAGTATAACTTTAAATGCTATTATACTACTTCAAAGTATACAGATTTTTAATTTTTTATTGTTTCACATTTGCAGTACATAATGTTACATTTCTTGAAGGAAGTTGGTACATGTACATAACACATCTTAACTCTTTTTTCATGTTTTTCCCCTCCTCTCCTCTCTCCCTCCATCCCTTGGTCTCTTACCTTATACAAAAGACCTCCTACCATATTCTCTACTAGGTAACTTTCATTCTGCCCTTCAAAGCATATTTTAAGAACTCTGTTTCCATTCCCCTCTTCTACTTTATGCTATTGTTGACATATCTTAAATTGTAGTTCTATATATGTTGCAAGCTCTACAATACCGTGTTGGTTTTTTGTTTTTTTTTTTTTTTGTTTGTTTTTTTTACTTAATGTTCACTTAAAAATTTTTTTTTTATTGAGACAGGATCTTGCTCTCTAGTTCAAGCTGGCCTCAAATTCACATTGACCCTCCTGCCTATGCCTTTTGAATTGAGTGTTGGTGCCATAGGTGCATGCCACTATCCCCAGTTTAAGTAGAAGTTTAAATAAATTTCACGGATCATCAAGAAATAATTGGGATTCAAGTTTAAGTATTCTGATCTCAGAGTTGAAGATCTAGAAAGCATTGAAAGAATACTTACAGATTGTATATTGTAATACTTTCTCTGAGGTCCACAGAGCTGATGTGTCTTGATCTTTGGAAGGAATAGCTTAACATTCAGAAAAATATATAAACTTTTTGTCTTACTTAATTGATAAATCAGGTATCTTAAACTATTACACACCGCAGAAAACGGCACTGTCTGATTAGAATTGGGTTCAAGGCAGCAGCAGATTCAGAAGGTTTCTTCTAGCAACTACCTGATTAGTGAGAAAGTACAATGTGCAGAGTCAATTAATATATTTAAATCTTTGGAAGATACCACAAGGACAGAGGAAGAAAATGAAGAAAGATAGTAGAGGGTACAAATATAAGAACTCTGTTATCTATAAATAAGTACTTACAATTGACACTGTCTGAAACTTACTTATTATATTTATGAAATGCAACACAATGAAAATGTAATATTCTTAAAGCCTATGCACTGGGATTATTTTTCCATTAACATAGACATGGTGCTGTAAGAAATCCAGTCCTGCCTTCCTTCCTGTCCCAGAGCAGTTATGTTTTTACGTTTTTTAGCTATAATAATAAATCAGATAAGCTCTGTTTTTACCACCCCCTAAGAAGGATTTAGATTTTTTTATACCAAGCTTTGGGAATGGTTATATTTTATTATATTCCTCCTAGTGAAGACCTTTTTTTTAATTTCAACTATTTAACATTCTCAGTCAGCATATGCTAAAATTAAAATACTCCCTCAGAGGTGGGGATGGAGCTGAGCAGTACAGTGTATCCTTAGCATGTGCAAGGTGCTGGGATAAGAAAATAACAAAATACAGAAAAAAACAAAAACAAAAATACCAGTAGGCTTTAAGGCTATATGTTGCATTCTCATTATCCTGATTTAAACTGATTATTAAAATAAGCTCCAGCAGAACTCCAAGAAATATACGTGAACAAAAAGACAAGCAGAGAATTTCTCAAGTAACTTCTTATTCACAAAATACAAAGTCTGACATTTTTAGATTAAATTTTTGCCTAATGAACTTGCAATTAAAAATTTAAAAACAAAAAACTGTGAACTATCAAAGAATTGGCCACCTAGGTGAGTTCAAATGCTGAGTGTTAAATCAGGGCAGTGTCTTTGATTATGATGGAGAAAAGATGGGGTCTTTTATTATTCATTCTTAATTTATTATTCCATCTAATTATCCTTTGAGACACTTTTTTAGATTTAAAGAAAACACCATGGTGACAACTATTAAATAAAAATTACATTCTAAAACACATTTAGATCTTCGGTCTGTTTTGATTTTTTTATTTTTTATTTGCTTTTATCTCCCCCCCATCTCTTTTGATTAAAGTTTAAAAATTTTTCGTAGAGTGAATATATACTTTCCATCTACAAGTGTAGTTTTCAACTTTTCAAACTCTGGGTTTTTTGTTTTTGTTTTTGTTTTTACTTAAAGTAAAACAAAAAACAAAAAACTCGCCTCTGGATGAAATATCAATCTTTTACCAAAAAAAATAAATTGTGAATGCTTTCTCTTTATGTGATAATAACCGCAGCCTCTACCAAATAAACTTAGCAGCACAGGTGTTTGTAGGAAATAAACTCAAGGCTGGAAAGCTAGCAGTTCTTTTAGCCTAGGATATGATTTTAATTGAGTGTTTCCAGTATATCCTCAGGTTAACTCAATTACACTGAAGAGGCATCTCTCTCCGCCTTCCCATTCTTCAAGATCCTTACATCTTATCCACATTTCTAGAAGATGGTTCTAAAAATTCTATAATAAATTTCCCATTTGTTCCATAATAAATATTTTGCTTTTCAACTGACAATCCTTAATCCACTATAGAAATCACTACTTCTGAAGTCATCACACAGCATTCATAAATCAAAAGGAAGCGACTTGGACCTCCTCTTCCTCTATTCCAAAGAGCTGTGGAAAACACTTATTAGAATTCATAATTTAAAATCAGTTAAAAAAAAAAAAAACTACAGTCACAGGACAAGGAAACAAACATTTTACAATAATGGTAAGCTCTATCCTCTGAGGAAATTGTGATTTTGCAGTTTACTATTAATTTATTTCATTACTAAAAACCAGTTTGTTACCCATATAATAAGGTCTCTGTAAGTAAAATAGAATTCTTGTTTTTTTAATTTCTATGTCATGAAAGAAAAGCTGAGCAGACAACAGATTTTTACCAAATTTGTGGAGTTTGTTTAGACAGTCAGATATATATATATATATTCTTTTTTAAGAAATTAGGTCACAAGAGTATATAAATAATTCACTTTGAAAAATCACTGGGATGCCCTTCAAAGGACAGCTGCAGGGGAGCCAGGCATGAGCCAATCATATGTGCACACTTATCCATGTGTCTCTGGCAAAGGGAACAGCAGCAATTATTTATGTGACAAGGGCTAGTGATTCCCTGGGGAAATGCAGGATTGGCATCACTAAGACTACTAATATTGTCCAACCCATAAATCTATCATCAACTATAGTTTTTTATTAGAAATGAATATCATTTCAGTCCCTTTTCTAACATTAGCATTCCTTAAATTGGGAATTTAAAAGTAAAAACTAAATTATTTTATGATACAATTTTGCTGAAGCAGAAATCCATTTATTTATGAAATAATCTATCATAACACCATAAGGTGTGCTCTTGGTTTTTAATTGTTTTGAATTCACTGCCTGTGGCAGATACCCTCCGTGTCCCACACACACCCTAGGATCCCAGCCTGAAAGCCGCTGTACCCTGGGTGCAAGGTTCCCAAGCACAAGCACCTCTCTCCTGAAGCACCTGTGTGTGCGTCTCAGCCCAGGCGAGCTACAGGCCGGAAATGCCAGACAAGGAGCAGCTTTAAAACCGTGGCCTCATGGAAAGGCAGAATGGGTAGGTACAGAGGTATGCCTGCTTCCTTGCTCCTTGGTGGTCATCTCTGGGTGAATCCTACAGAACCCCAGACAGCTCCCAGGGCACCGAGGCCACACAGTGCTGAAGTCATCAGTGCACCTTCCAAGCTCTTCTGTTTCTTCATAGCTTCCCTCTGCTATAAAGTCATTTCCACATGAGCTTAAATGCACAAGATGATCAAGGAATATGGTGATTGTTTAAATAAATTTTGTTACAGGAAAAGACACGTTGCTATTAACCTCCTTCAAAACACTTCCCCTAGCTTCAAACACGTATTCCATCCTTCTTGCCACTTTCTGAAGCAGTTTTGGGAGTCCTTTTTCGTGTCTTTATGAGCTATGATAAAAAATGGGGGGAAGTCAGTGGCACTTGTGCCACTGAAAGGAAAGGCGCCCTTGTAAACACGTAAGGCTGTGTCCTCATCTCTCAGGTCACGTGATCTGGCATTAGGCAACTTCTGGCTCTTCCCCTAAGTCAGGACCGCGAAAGGTCAACATTTCAAGTCAGTTCAGGACACAGAGGCAGCCAAGACAGAGCAGCTTAAAGACACAAAGCAAGACTTCCAGGACTGCCTCAGAAAGTAGCAAGAATAATGAGACGAGCACTGTTGAGTATTTTAGGAGGGATTAATGGCAATATGTCTTTCTTTGTAATCCATTTTTAAAAACTTAAGCATTCACTATATTTTTTTTTTTACTGCACTTTGTACTTCCAAAGCCTTGCTTTAAGTTTGCCCTGGGTGGGTCAGGGGATCAAAATTAAGATTATATTTAAGCACTGGCAATTTCTTGTCTTGGTAACACTTTTTTCTTTCTTCCTTCCTTCCTTTTTTATTATCAAATTTGGTGACCAAGATCTTACATCCAGCAAGCATGGGCTTAAATACTGGCTTCTGACCAGGCATGGTGGAAAATGCCTTTGATCCCAGCACTCAGGAGGCCGAGGCAGGAGTATTCCATGAGCTCCAGGCCAACCTAGGCTACATAATAAGACCTTATCTCAAAGAAACAAATGAAGAATAATTAAATAAATACTGGCTTCTCCTCTAATTAGCCTTGTAAAGTGAGGCCAGTGATTTAAGCTTTGAGTTTCATTCTTTATCTATAAAATGGAGATAACCATCTTACTTTAAATTGTTATTTCTTATGTCCATTAAATTAGATAATATGCCCAACACAGTGCCTAAAAGTATAGGAAACACTTTAAACTGTTAGCTCTAATTACTGGGTTCAATAGCTTCCTATTTTGTTCTGAAATATTGTTAATGTCTAAATTAATCTAAAATAACTAATTAGGTTTCAGATAGGCTCTTAAGAAGGTAAGGGGCTACCCACTGAGAATAATAAGCAGGGGGGCACCTTCCTTGCTGACAGCCTCCTTTCCTACATCCCTGCCACTCACTGCCTCTGGGGGACAAACAAAACAGAAGGTGTCGCCCTCCTCACCTCTCCCTAGGCTCCGTGAAGCCACCATCCTTCTGTGAAGCCTTTTGCATCACTCTGGTTCAGCGGGTTTTCCTTGTGCTCAATGACAGTTCATAACACTTACTGTTCATGTTAACTGTTCATTTCAACAAGAGCTTTGGAGTGGTTCATTTCATGTGTAAACTTAGCTAGGCTACAGTAGCCAGGTCAAATATTATTCTAGATGTTTCTGTGAGATGTTTTCTAAGGAGGATCAGCATTTAAGTCTGTGGACTTTGAGCTAACCAGATTATCCTGACCTCCCCCTGAGAAGGAATCCTGCCAACAGACCACCCATGCACTCAAACCACAACTCTTTTTTGAGTCTCCAGCCCACCAGCCTCCTTTGCAGATTTCCAACTTCACAAGCCTCCACAATAGCAAAAAACAACTTCTTAAAATACCAATCTCTCTTTCCCCCTCCCTCTCTTCCCTTCTCTCCCTCTCTCCCTCCCTTCCTCTCTCCTTCTCTCCCTCTCTCCTTCCCTGTTTCTCCCTCAGCTTCCCTCTCCCCACCCCCTCACATATTTTATGGGTTGTGTTGTTGCAGGCAGCTGAGTTAGTTAAAAATATTATAGTCAGCGAAATAGGGCTAATTCCTCAAAGGAGCCAGTGCAGATACCTTGCAATTGTGGGGGAGACAGACACCTCCTGCTGTGGGCCAGGCCTCAAGACAAAGAATCAAACAAATGCATCCACATCCTAGGGACTGTTATTCTAGTTAGTTCCTTATCATGATGGAATCACTATCCCATCCCCCAAGGGGAAAGGTCACATCTCCAAGAATGCCCGCTTCCTACGTGACTTGCTTTCCCATTTGTTTCTAATGTAATCAATTTTACCTGAACTATTAATCTTATTGGCTACTATAATTATGTACCATCTTATGCCCATCTGCCTTGTGAGTTCCCAGTCTTCCCCTACCCATGGTTTTACTCTATATAAGTCCCTGGAAAAGACAATATCCTGGGCTGCAGCCGCCCCAGGGGGAAAACCACCAGCATATCTTGAGATTGGCACCATGTTGGAACTTAGGATGCTGGGAAACCAAACAACCAGTCTGCCTCCCTCCTAAGCAATAGTGAGCCTACTGGTGCACGGGCTTAGAGTCAAACATCCCACTTTCCCTACCCCCCTTTATCAAATGGGAACCAGAGATCTGAGCATGTTTTGGGAGGTTGACCATATGCAATACAGCAAATAAGGGGGATTTCCTTCTACCATCTTTTTGAAGGCAAATATTTTTACTACTGTTTTGCTTTATTCTGATTAATGGTACTGTTCTATTCAATATTCTGTTTTGATAAGTTCTATAATGTTCTATACTTCATTTTATTTTGCTATACATGATTGAAAGAACAACTATTGTGATGATAACGAGATATACAGTGATACTATTACTGTTATCCTGGTATACTGCTGTGAGGTCCTGTACCAGTTTCACTACACTGCCTCAATTGGCTTTGTTCTGTCTTGTTCTGTTGTATTTCACTACCTTAACAAGAAGAAGAAGAAGAAGAAGAAGAAGAAGAAGAAGAAGAAGAAGAAGAAGAAGAAGAAGAAGAAGAAGAAGAAGAAGAAGAAAAGACAGTGTCCTCGGCAATCCGTTCGGGTTCCCTTCTGTCTCTCTCTCAGACAGAAGTTTTCTTTCAATAAATATATTCTACTCTTCACCTCCATTGTTCCTAAAACTCATTCTTTGATTTTAGAGAACACTAGCTCATGGACCCAGTAAGTTAGGAGTTTCATTCCCCTATATCAGTACTATATGTAGATCCTGGCACATGGGACATGTGGTTCTGCCAATATTGAAGAATGAAGTTATGAACCATAAGAGATTAGGAGTGTTTTTATTAGACATAATAAGAGGAAAAGTAGCACCTAGATTTCCAGGAGAGTCCTGAGTGGGTTACCACATGCATCTAGAATCACTTACAGAGAAGCAGGGCACAGAATCATTTAATCATTTAGTAAACCATCTATCACAGGTGGCTCTTGATGAAGTTAAAAAGATGACTAGTTCTGTCATAAATTGTTTACAGTAAAGTTGGATCTTAGAAAGAAATTGGTTATTTTGCATTGAGTGACACAGTAGGGCCATAGCTGGGATGGACATGGTGGATCGGTGGGTCTGGCAGCCTAGAAAAATCTGAAGCAGCAGCAACAATATGAGCCAAAGACTGGCTCAGAGCAATATTCCTAAGCCAGATATCCCAGTGAGAATCCAAGAATCATCCAACTGGCTCCATAGGAGAAATTCAGATGATGGGCCTCTCCCCTACACTGTGGGATCTGGCAGCTGGGTGAATGCCAGCCACACAGCAGGACCTGAAGATGCACATGATGCGTAGGCAAGACTAACAGGATTGCAAAGACTGAAATATGAACCAAGAGGTGAAAATAATAGGACAAAAAAGCAAAACACAATCTCAGACCCTCAGCCCATCTGGACCAAGTACAGGAGACATCAGCATACAGGATATTGGAAGACACACACCTGAAATTCCTGAAAAGCGAGGAAGTGAAGTAAAGAAACAAATCCACGAGGCTATAGGATAAATCAGATCAGAAATAATTTCTCAGGTAAAAAAGGAATGACAACCTTAATGGAGGAATTGCTCAGCATACCTAGAGAACACAGAGATTGAAAATATATATATATATATAGTAGTACAGGAAAATGATCGAAACCTTGAATGAAAAGTATAGGAAATAAATAGAATGCATGAAACAGACTCAAAGAGATATCCAGGAAATTAAAAATTCAATTGAAAACTGGCAAAACTGCTTGAAGCAAACTGAAGGTAGACATTCAGATCTTGAAGATGGGATCACAGCTTGTAATCACAAAAGGAATAATCTCTCAAAAATAACAGGTGATCATGAAATAATAATTCAACAGCTCTAATACAGGCAAAGAAAAACAATATAAGACTGACAGGTGTCTATGAAAAAAGGAGTTAACACAAATGACATATTTGCAGTAGTAATTAGCAGAAAATTTCCCAAGCGTGGGAACAGAATTGGACATCCAGATAAGTGAGGCACATAGAACTCCAAATAGCCATAATCAAAATAAATCTACACCCAGACATGTAATAATCAAAAACCCAGAAATTCACCACAAAACTAGAATATTAAATGCTATTTGAGAAAAGAAACAGATCACTTATCAAGGGAAGCCCATTAGAATCATGATTGACTTATCAACACAAACCCTCAAGTCAAGAAGAGCTTGGAGTGAAGTATTTCAAGCCTTGAACAAAAATAACTTCCAACAAAGATTAATGTCCCCTGCAGAACTACTTTTTAAAATTAATGGAGACATAAGATATTTCCATGACAAAAACAACTAAAAAAACTGATGTCCACAAAATCAATCCTAGAAAGAGTACTGAAAGATAGTCTAGAAAAAGACAAAAATGGCTATGTTATCCAGAACAACAGAAAAAAACCCATCAGGCAAGGCAAGCAGTTAAACACGAAGGCAAAAGCAACCAACAACAGGAAAAAATA